AAGCAAGCAACTTCAACGAACTCTGCAGGTCATACATAATGCATTAGGTAAAGTTTTAATTAATTAAGAAATAAGACTTATTTTTTATGGCATAATGTTGCATATATATACACTTTAGAACCATTCAAAATAATATTATAATATTAAGATGGAAATAAGAAGAAGGGCGTCTGTGGCTTGGAGCTTTGGAATTGTGATGATGGCCTCATTTTCAACCAACAACGACAGTGACAGTGTCCCTCCAAGCGTCGTTTAGTCCAATGAACAAAAGTTAAGTAATCAAGAAACCACGCACAACGAATTACGATTTACTAGTGAGCCACTTCTATTTTGCGTCTATTACACGTGAATTGTGTCTGTGGCCATAAAACGAACACACAATATTATATTCCACAGTACACATTCACATTTTTCTGATTTTATTTATAAGACAATGTTTTATTAAATTTGACTACCTCAATAGCTTTTCTCTTACAATTTAATAATATTTTAATTTTATCCTTACTAAACATACTACGGCCGGATCCTAATATAAGAATTAGTTTAGGGTTGGATTTGATCATAAATATAAGATTTCAATCCATTTTATCTATTATATTTATCATTTTTTTCAAATTAATTTATCTAACTTATAAACTGATTTATAATCTAGTTATACAATAATATTTTAGGGACATCTGTTTGCCTTTTGTTATAATTAACTAATGTATTTAATTTTTTTAATCTACTCAAATTATTTTAAGTGATCGTCATGTTAAGGAATGCGTGGAGTATATACTTTTCAAAAGAGTAATAGTTCTTATAACAATAAATTATGGGTATAGAATAAATTTAATATAATAACTTTAATAAGAGAACTTATATTAAGAAAAAAAATACTCATATAATTTATCCTACAAATGAGAGAGGAGCATATAATTTGCGTTTGAAGTTTGAACAACCCTCTTGCTACAGGCATATTAAACAAAGGAAGCAATAGACGAAAAAAAAAGTGATAAAAGACCAAAAGTCCAAGTGCTTATGACCATAATGGAAAAGGAGTATATAGAAACTCAAATATCTAAGTCATGACGTAAAGGGAATATATTGCTTCTCTATGGAAACATTAATCTCCATAAGAAATCAAATTATATAAAGACGATTTACCAAAGTCAATGCAAACCAAATACTGGCAAATTAAACATGGCAATTGCAAAGTCGAGAATATTCAAGCTTTTTAAAATAAAATAAAAACCTTTTTTTCTCTTGGTTGGGAAAAAAAATTCGTAACTGCGATCCGCATATACTACTTCTGATCCTAATTATAAGGCTAGTTGACTAATTTGATGAGATTAAGGAAAGAAGTTGAGTTAGTTATTTGTAACAAATAGGTGTTGTCTTTTCTAAAATATTCTTACTAATCAAATATATTGGCTAGAACTATCATTGTTAAGAGGACTATCTTGGAAAAAAAATACATAAATATAAGAGACAAAGTGGATTGGGGTCATATATTTAGGACCAAAATAAAAGCCAAACAAGGTCTTATATTAAGGATCGGAGGTAGTATATAAGGAAGAAAAATGATAAGTATCTCTTCATGCATGACATCTATTCTTTCTTCTTAAAAATCATTTCCTTGATTATTATAAACCCCGTCATTATTTTGGTTTCTCATTTTTTTTAAAAATAAATATATATTTATTTGTTATTGTATATGTAGCAACTTAATTAGGAGGGGTTTCCTTTTTGTTCTTATTTCTTAGTACTTGGTAGCTTGCAAAAGATTATATTTGATTATCAACAGGGCATAGTCTTTGTGCTTTATTATTAAGAAAATATTTTTGTTTGCCAATTCTTTTACATATATATATATGTATGTATGTATATTTGATGTCAAAGCTGTTTATCCATCATTCCTAGGGGATTACGGTAAATTATATTGAATTTGCAATTCATGCTAGAATTGAAGTTCGTAATTAATCAGAAATAAAAAAAAAAGACAGTGATCGGCAAGAGGGGGGAAAGAATTTTATACGCCCTCACAGTCACTTTTTCTTTTTCTTTTTCAAAAAAAAAAAAAGATTAGATGTACTTTAATTCTAAATATTTTAAATTAAACTACATTTGTTTTGTATTTGAACGGGTAGATATTGTCCAGTAAGAATCATGAAAATCAAAATATTTTAGAGTTTTGTGTCAGAGCAAAATATTTAAGAGTTAAAAGGGCATTTTTGTCCCCAAATTAAATCCATATTAATACTTGGTAAGATAAATTATTAAGGGGATATTTACATTAGCTTTTATAAAAGTGATTTGACTGTCTATGGGATAAATATATAAGAGTTATACATCGATTCATGTCAAAGCATTTTTTCAGGTGCTTATCAAACTCATCCTAAGTGGTCTAAAAATATTTTCAAACGGATAAGAACATTGCAATATCGTTTCTGCCGTTTAAAAGGAGTAAATGCACGCTAAAGACAAGTACAGATATGTGTGCAAGCCCCACATCGTATAGTTAATGGATGTTGCCCTTGTGGGGGCATTAAATTATTGTATTAGTATGATTAACGCGATGTCCAAGTTATTTGGTGGCATAGTTAATGGATGTTTATTGATTTTTAACGCCATGGAAAACGTTGTAATGTTTTTTCATGTTTGAGGATAACATTGTATCACTTGGTAGTTTAACTGTTTAAGATATTCCATGCTCCTGTGTGAATAATTTAAGGACAAAAATATTCTTTAATGCAAAATTTAGACTCAAGCTTCCATAATAAAAAAGAATAATAGCACCGAGCAGATTTGTCAGGATGATTTCACAATTTCAACCAGATCTAGAGATTTGCGGTTCATATTAGTTTTTGACTCATTTCAAAAAGCTAAAAGCATAAGCAAAATGGCAATTTGCTTTGTAATATGTGTATATAACGAAATGGGGAAAAGCATCATCAGGATGAGTTTATCTTGAAACAAATCGTCATGTTCACGAAATATTAATGAAGTTTTCATTGGGTTTGGTAAGAATTTTTCTGTGGCTCATGATTTTCTCCTTCTTTTCTTTTCTCTTTTCGTCTGAGTCCATTTTATATACACGCTGTCGGCTAAACGACGCTTAAAATAGATCTACTGTACCATGATATTGAAAGTCCGCAGCACAAAGAAAGATCATAGATTGTTGGCAAAACAAACAAAAAAAAAAACAAAACAAGGAAAGATTATAGATTAATTTAAAGGAGAATGAGAGTTTTACTATTGTTTTGATTTTAAAGGAAACAAAAAGCAGAATAAATATAACTTTTTCCCAAAAAAAAAAATAGACTAATCATAAACATTAAATAAGATCGAAATTCAAAATAGGGAGATTCAGAGCAGCATGGACATGGTGCTGCAGCTGGAAAATTGTAGGGTTCTGTTGTTCTCTTCACACATGTCCACTCTCTCACACACAGCAATCGTAACACTCGGCAATGCATTTTGTTGACTTTAATTCCCATTAACTTGAATTCCATTCTGTTAAGAGTACAGCAAGAACGACCCAGTTGGCTGGCAATAAATTGTTGATAAACAGGTCAAGGGCATCAACAGAGATAACCTACATAATAACAAGAAAAAAATACGAGTGCAAAATAAAATAATTAGCAGAATGAGAAAAAATTAAAAATAAAATGAAAGAACTACAAAGCAGAAAAGTACTACGAGAACCAACAGGAATCAAACCGTCCAATTACTTGCCGAAAATCATAAATTCAACTAGTCACAGTGAAAATCATAAAGGACGTAATGAAATTTAAGGACACCACTTAAATTGGCAGCATGCGTCAATGTGACAATGTCTATAACGATTTCTGGAGAGCATGCACCATCCAAGCACTAATTACTTTAATAAAAGCAAATGCTAGACCCTTAATCCAATATCCCTCGCCAAAATCAAATGAGGTAAAAAACGGAGTATTGCGTTTGCACCAGTCCAACAATGCCACTGATTAGTCCATCCCCCCCCCCCCCCCCCCAATCAAAGTATCTTGATCTGAGGTACATAGGCTATCCCTGTGGTCCAATCACATTTGGCGAAGATAAATAATAGACCCTTATTCGAAGTTGAAGGAATATTTTCCTGACCAAACCAAAAAAGATGCTCTTAAGTCTTATCCTTCTAACACAGCAAAAGCGTGATGCATTTAGACAAATATCGTCATCGTGACCCCAATATGTTGCCACATCATCTCTTTGTAGCTCAAGAAAACATAGGCAGCACAGGTATGATTTAAGATGCCTATACTCAAAACTTCTAATCGACATCAGATTTGGACAGAGAAATGCAAAACCAAACAAAAGTAATTTCCTAAGTATATTATCCTGTAGAAATATATAGCAGTGGAGCAAAGAGAAAATATTTTGAACTTTTGCTCTTTAGGACCAAGGTATTCAAAGAACAAAATAGCAGGGGACCAAGTGATTGCTGATATACGGTGAAAATACCATGTCTTTGCAAACAACATTGAACTCTATGGAATAATGGATTAATGATGTATATAATGGCAGACTGCTAAATATATTTGATAAAATTGATTCTTGACGTACAACTAGTCTCATTTAGTCATTTAAGACTTCAATTGTTGTTGCCCCATTCCCAGACATCTTAAAATTAAATTTTAACACACTACATACTGTCCAAACTCACTCGATTTTCTTTTCAATATGAGGTGGTGCGTTTGAAAATAAAGATATCAATTGAAGGAATCATGAAACAATTAGAGCTTTGATGATTAAGTAGCAAGGAATCATTTACTTAGAGCGCCAAAACTAAAATAACACATTAAGTGAATACCCAGATTATCATCCATGCAAATGGCCGCATGGAAGATTTTTACCATGCTCGCTTTCAACATAACAGTAAAGAGCAGGGAAATGAGGTATATTGAATCTAGTGATTATGGCTATTACCAAATTACATTAATGCATGATCAAGTATCAGAAATAACAAACCTGACATATAACCGAACTGAACGAGCCCTTAACAAAAAAGACACAATCTTGAACACTTTGGCATGCTATGAGACATGCATAGAACTCAAGTGTTGTTGTTTTTAATCTCCTGAGTTGATATATCAACAATCTTAATCCTCTGATTCTCCGGCAATATTGACCAATTTGGAGATTGTGTTGCACGCAACCACTTGAAGTCATCCACATTTGCCCAATTTCCAGTCTCATTATCAAGACTAGCATGCTGAAGATCTTCTTCAATCCCTTCGTAAGTCAGACAATATGGTGAAAACCTCACACTACTAGAATCCTCAATTATGGGTCGGCTCCTAACTCTCAAGTAAAAATCACTTCTTTTGGCATGATGAATCCTAATTTGATGTGATGCCATCACAAAGATGCATCCCTCAACTTCCTCAATAAGAATTGAACCCATTACAGGCCCTACATAAACCTGGCAATTCTTCAGCCTATGAATAAAAAGCGCCCTTAAACAACCAATTAATCTAACTTCACAAGAATCAAGGTCTGAAATTGTGAATTCTCCAACTTCTGATCCCCTAAACTCCTCGAACAAAACCTGACCTACTTTGCCTCTAAATCCTGGCGAATCCCACAAGGTAAGTCTCTTTTTCTCTGGTGAATCATCAGTGCACTTTGAAGGAGGAGGCTCTTTCAATTCTGCAACACCAGATTCTTTCTTGTTTCCTTTGTTCTTAAATGCAAATTTCTTTTTTGGAACAAGTTGGGAATTCAAACTCTCAAGGCTTTGTTTCAAATCCGAAACAGTTTTGAGTGAGGATCGAACATCATAGGATGGCAAGAAATATGAGTTTTCAGCAACAAGTTTCTCTAGATCAGAAATAGATGCAGATATTTTTTCGAAGTGAAACTTGAGTTGAGCTGGATCAGAGGGAGCAGTTTGGCAATCAGCTAGCCGAGACTCAATGGAGCACTTCATTTCAGAAAAGCGTGAAAAAAAGGATGAAGTGGATTCAAAAGAAGATGATCCAGATTCAGATCGGCGGGAGTTATCCAAACGATTCTGGTGACGGTTTGAGAGGCGCTCAAGCATTAATGAGTGCTTCCTCTGAAGATCTGGGTCAGAGTATTCTGTTTCTGGGACGTTTGTGGGATTTTCATTCTCATCCATCACTTGCAACTTGTGAAGATACAGGAGAGTCGAAGAATCTTTAAAGCAACAGGAGACTGAAGTGCCCACCCAAAGGGCACCAGTAAGTCTGGTGATGTTTGGTTCTCTCCTGACTGCTTCTATCCAGTTTTCTCCTGATGCCTGTTAACTACAAGTTACAAAAATATAATAACAGATATTACTATCCTTAGTTGAATAAAGCATCAATAGTTAGCATGGATAAAAATAACAGATTCAAATAAGGAGCACAAATTAAATTACTCGACACCTCGGACATACATATTGAATTAAAAGCATTTTACTAAACATGTAACATAAACATGAAGAGTATAATAAAAAATTACGACTCCCGTTTATATCAGTGCCTTCAGTGACAAATGTCTTGTCAAGCAAATACTAATTCTATAGCATTTACATCAACCAAATATTGAGTAACCAAAGCATACTAAGCACTTTGGATCTAGAAGGGCAAGCGTGCCTTTGTAACAAATACATATACAAGTTGATTCTCACCAAGAACTAACATTAAAACAAATTAACTGATCTGAAATCCAATGCACCAATCTTGCAAAATATCAACCCCAATTATTTGTATTTCAATCAATCTAACCTGAGGAGAAGAATGGCTTCAAACAATGAGGCTTTCAACTACAAATAGAAGACCGCAGGGAGGAGAGAAGACCAGCAAGGGCATAAGATAGAGCATATAGGACGAGACCAAGAAGTACACTATCTGTAGCACAAAGGAGACGAGTGAAGCAGCCTTTCTTCTGGTTCAATGAACTAAGAAGATAAGACCTATAAGAAAGGAAGGAGACAGTGATATGAAGGGAAAATAGATTGATGATTTAAATGGAATAAATAACCGAGATTTGCATAAGCATTGAGCCACCAATGGCTAAAAATGCATTTCAGTAGATGCAGGGTTTGTATTTTTGCTTAGATGTGCAAAGGATTCAAACATTTATATGGTCCTCCCTAGGCTTTCACACAGATAGGGCTAGACCAGTTGTTCATTCGGGCTAGGCTTTGCTTCCGGGCTACTCAAGGACAGCCCAGCCCAGATGAACCTGATACCACATCAGGCTGGGCTCAGTCTTTCAGGTTGCCAGACCATTGAGGTTATTTAAGCACCCCTTTGAGTTAGACCTTGAATGGGTTGCAGTTCCGTACCATACCATTTCTAATCTCAAGCAGTGTCCATAAAGGCAGAAACGAAACATGCAAAGTTCTTTGCAATTTCTAATAAATCTCATTTCTTCACTATTTTGTGTCAAAACAAGATCATTGTTAAAACTAAATAATATTAATAAATATCGCAAAGCTAAATAGCAATTAAAAATGACTAACGGATCAATTTATAAGCATGAGAATAAACCTGAAACAAACAAACAACTAACAGCATATCTTATAAACATAAGATCAACTAAATAACTTCATACTCATTCTTATAAACCTAATCATAGGTGGAACTACGTTACACTCAGTAGGCGCATCAGCACCAACTGAAATCTTTGAAATATGCATGGTTGATATAATGCCCTTCTAATTTTTGTTCCAGATACTTCAACGAAGATGCCTTTGTAAACCAATTAATTCAGGCAACTCCACCAAGCCACTGAAGAATGATAATTCAAACTCAAGCTTCTAGATTGCCAAACACAACACAAGTCAAGTCATTCACCAGATCACCATCACAAATACCTTAAGAATTCTCTAAACGGATGATAATATAAAGAGATTAACAGACGGAATGCCAACATACAACAAATCCAACCTGGCAAAAAACAAACCAAAGCATATAAGTCACTAGCAATCAAAATGAAGAGGGAAGAAGCAGCCGATTACACACCACTGAAGTAAAAAGTAGAAATCAAAGTTCTTCTAAAAAAATCAACCTCAATCTTTATTCAAAAGCATCAATGCTCAAACGATTACAATGACTATATTCAAAGACAAATTAAAATGAAAATTTTAAAACAAAGCAACAAACAGTCTGACGGCATCCGACACAGCGGAGACAAACACGCTGGGAACAGATGACGAGGGGCACAAATTCAAATATAGATTCAGAGCCAGAATGAACAAATCAATCTCATTGGATTTTGGGAGCAGACAAAGCCTTAGGGTTTGAACCTTCTTCAATACTTGCAGAAAAACAACCACGGATGTCACACCCCAAAAATTCAGGGGTGACCAGCACAGAATATGAGAGAACTCATATTCCTAAAGCCTTAAAACATATGAATAAACAGTTGCCATAATAATTACAATACCATTCATATAGAATAGATCTCTTGTAATCAAAATACAAGGCCATTAGTAGAACTCTGCAAATAACTCGCAGGCACAACACAAAATAGGGAGCTCCCCTCAACAACAATACGAACATATATTCATATATTTAGAATAATAAATACAAGCAAGGGTCTGCCCATAGATTATGTGGAGGATCTAAAACCCATAAATAAATAACTACATAAATGCAACTTAGTTTTACATCAATTAGCAGTTGTTTTAAGCTTTGATCAGTAATGAGAGTTTTTTCCCCCCTCCTATTTGGTTGAAGGTGCAAGGTTAGCAGTGCTATCTAAGGCCAAAATAAATTTTACTAGTGAATAGCATCCCATTAATAAGAATAAGATAAAACAAATCCTAAAATAATAACTTGTACAAATACAACAAGGTAACTGACCGGTTTACAATTGCCTTGTGAAAAAATCATTAAAACATGGAATATCTATAAATATAAAACATTTTCAATATACAAAACTTTATAAGGCGTTTTTTTTAAATCAAATCACGAATAGTGTTGAAAAACATTTTTCAATGGAGGATTTCAACAGAACGAAGAGGCATGGGGATAGAGTGGGTAGGTAACCAAGAAGCACGACTGAAGCCACAAGTACAAGGGTAGCTAAAGCTACGAAACAAGCGCAGGGACAACGCCCACAAATGACAAGCGCAGCCGAAACCATGAATAACAAGCGAGCCCAATATTACCATGGCACACTAAGGGCTAATAGTACTGCTATTAGCAACCAGCGTTCTGTATTCAACCCTCACAAAAATCATTTTCAAGCATGCATGGGGCCAATTTATCATCAATAAACAAGAATCTTTTCTATCATCGAAAACATGTAAAAAGAATATATCATAACAAAAGACCCCAGCATGAAAGTTCATAAAATCCCAAATATTTTCCTCAAATTCCATCGACGAACAAAAATCATTTTTTCGAGTAATAATAACTCAAACAAGAGCATTTCAAGATGGGGAAAAAAAAAAGAAATTTACAATATCGAACAAATAAAAACGAATAATGGTACAAATGAAATGAAGTTGTTTTGATGAAACAATACTTGAAAAATAGGGGGTACTAAATAACAATAAAACAAATAAGAAAATATCATTTATAAAATCCTGTTTATGGGATGCTACTCACACTTTCATTATACTTCAAGATAATCCTTATTCTTTACTCTTACAATCATGAACAATAATATGCCACATAAGCCATTTAGCACGATGATTTTGGCAGCCAAGATACACCATCTTAATCCTCAATTTGCAACAATTTAATATAGTAAGAGAACTTGAATCTTAACCCCTTTTTCTTTTTCTACAAATAATAAAGTTACAAATGCGAATAACGATTGAGTTTTATCACCCTTAAATATTAGCTAAGCAGCCGAATGCCATGAGTTTGAAATATAACATCTTCTACTTTCCCTCTCCGCGAAGCATTTTGTCAGCCATGAGTGTCTCACCATCCCCTTCATGAACTTAAAGAACTTAAACTTTCATTAAGTTCCTTTCGCCCCTCCATAGCACAAGCCTTAGCTTTCTGGCAAATTTTACTAGCCTCCCAATCCAATTCTTCTCTTAAACATTAAACAAACACTTCAAGCGCATTCCACGATTCAACTCATAACCCTCGGACAATCTTAAATTTAAACCAATTCAATTCATACATTCCTTTTTCAACCAAGACGCTTTATTATTATAGAGAATACTTGCCTCTGGTTCAATTTAGTACACATTCTTCATCGTTATACCTCACAATAAATCATTTCTATCCATCATACAATTCGTCAAACAACTTGGGCGCATGCATTCAGTACAAAATTAAATAAAAATCATGGCAGTCCATAAATCATCAATCGCACAAATCTCAACTAACCCATCAACCTCACAAAATTTTCTGCCTCAATTCGTTAACCAGGCCCAACTTGCAACGGAGAGAAATCATAATTTGAAAAGAAACCAAAACATGCAAAGGATATTTACCTACCTCAATCGGACAGCCCCCCCACCATCTTCCATTAAACCGTATTCCCAATTCCTTGCTTAAACCACGCGGATAGCATGCACCACCATGAGATACAAAACAGAAAAATGAAGGAGACAAGTTGATGATGCAGGAACGAGGAAGAGGCAGCGATCAAGGGAGATGAATAATGAGTGAAAGAAAGGCGAGGAGGACAGAGCAACGGATGGCAACCTTGTATACAGGTCGCCGGTGAATTTGGTACGCTGCAACCCCCCCGGTTCCCGAAATTTCCCTCCCCTTTCGCTCTTTCGGATTTTGTTTCTAATCCTCTGCTGGCTAAAACCAAAGCCCAGTAAAACATCATAACAATGACATCCCACAAGATGGCCACAAAAACGACACCACTTTCCCACAAATTGGGCCCAAAATGGGCTCTTCTTGCTCTTTTATCTCAGACTATATTTTGGTATTCTCCTTGATCAAATTAGAAATAAATTCAATAATTAATTATTTGGGAAATTCCTAATCAAGAAAATTGTCATATTTATTTTTTAAAAAACCCCCTTTCATATAATAATTCTTTTATATTTATTGGATTCAATATGACCCCATATAATTTCACTTTGTTTTGGGGAAAAATAATAATAATAATATTTTCTAAGCCCAAAAATTAATTTGAACTTAGAACTTCTATTTTTTAGAAGTAATTATTCCCGTTAATTCACTCCAATATCCAATCCTCAAATAATTATTCCCCACATGTTTCAATTATTCAAGGGCTTTAAATAATTTAAATTATGTAATTTTGGTAAAAAGAAACTCAAATATAGGCTCCCCTTATTGTTGGGCTACAATAATTTTTAAAAAAAAAAAAAAAACACTTACTAACCAACCTTTCACACGTATACATCAGGGCTGTGACAACGGAGGGCTGACAACGGCGGCGTCCGACGGCGAGGTCGACCAAGCGGGGGAATGCTTGTTGGTGGACGAAGAAAAATGGATCCGCTAGTGCTTGCTTGCGTTAATATTTTTTGCCAACTTTTATTTTTATATAATATATATTTTCCTCTAGTAGTAAGACTGGCAAATAATTTTTTTATCCTATTTGTAAATCATTTCACCAAATTTTTAATATGAATGTATTATTCTGTTTTTTATTTATTATATTGTAAATAGTTTTTTAAAAAATGTATATATTAAATAGAAATAAATATTTTAAAAAAAATGTATATATTAAATAGAAATAAAGTTAAAAAATTATTATATTTTAAAAAAATTTAACAAAATTAAATTTTTTTTCTGAAATAGGTTATAAGAGCTCTAAAAATAGAATCAGATAATTGTTTAAATAGGAATAAAGTTAAAAATGATTATATTTTAAAAAAATTTAATAAAATTTAAGATTTTTGTTTTTGCGAAATAGGTTATAAGAGCTCTAAAAATAGAATCACATGAGTGTGTGTATATAATTTTCATTTTATTTAGGACCGGAGGTAGCGTTCAGTTGGATTGTTGAATCTGATGTCACAGGAGCAAAGATTCTCTTAAATATACTACACCTCCGGTCCTTAATATAGAACTTAATTCTCGAATTAGTTTTGGTCTTAAATATAAGACTCATTTCTCATATTTATCAATTTTTTCTAGATTATCCCTATAGATACTCCATCAACTATAATCAAGTAGAAGAGGGAGAGAGGGTATTAAGAAAAATGATTATGGTATTTTAGGAAAAATATGTCACTTTTCTTATAATTAACTAATTTACCTAAGTTCCTTAATCTAATCAAATTAATTAAATAGGTCTTATATTAAGAACCGGAGGAGTACTATTTTGCATGAGCAAACAGTTGATTCGCTTCACCCATTATCAAAAATTACCTCTTTAGCAAAAAAAAAAAAAAAAAAAAACCTGACAATTATGCTCTTCATGCTACAATCTTTTTTTTTTTTAAATAACATGGTAACATCATGCTACCATCTTTCTCCATTATCAAAGCTAGCATTGATTCTCCTTCCATTTTCTTTTTTTTTCACTTGAGTATATATTTGCCCTATTTCATTTATTATTGTGTAAACTATATTTATAATATTTTATTTTATTTTATGCCATTTTGATCTTTTATTAAATAAAATATTATACATGACACAACTTCATATACATTAAAGCTTTATTATTATTTTGTTTTTGAATGAAAAGTGGACCAATATATTTTACAAAGGAAAGACTACGCATAGAGCAAAATAAAGCTCATCTCTTCTCATCAACAACCACCTCCCGATTTAGAGGTAGCAGGTGATCAAATGGGACACGAAAAAACCCCCAATTGCTAGAAAGTGTATTATTGGAATACAATGTTGCAAATTGCAAATATGAAATTGACATGATAAATTAAGCATTTAGGGCTCATTTGGTTGCTGAAAAGGATAAGAATAAACTGAATTAAAAAATAAAAACAAAAATAGATTTTCTGTTTGAGCTGATTGCACATTCATCTTGGCATCATCTTTCCTTCCTGTGGGAAATCTCGGTACCACAAATGTGAAAATCACCATACCCTCCCAGACCTCAGGAATTACGGACCTTGTGAACTAAAGTACTCCTCTCATGAACCTTGTTGACCTATCTTCCGCCGCATTTTTGTCATTTTATTTTCTTTATTTCTTTAATCCATTCCATTCTCATCCTTTTCAGCTACCAAACGGCCTCTTTATATATAGACAACACTATAATCTCAAATGCAATTTGGCCCTCGGGTTATAATATTTGTTACCCAAATCTGGGGAAACGAACCTCATGTACGGAAGGAACACATATCAGACTACCAACAAGATACTATATACTACTTAGCAGTATCCACCAAAAGAAATAATGATAATTGAGCAATAATTTTAATACACAAAACTACAACGCTGGAAGTAATTAAAATACTAATGTGTTGGCTCATGCAGATTTTTCAGCTTCTTCAGCTGCTTCTTCCTCCTGCAGTTTCTTTAAAGAGGGAGGTGGCCTGGGGACAATACTTTTCTTCCATTTCCGATCAAGTTTCCTAGATAACCTCTTGCCGATTCCCTTCTCAATCTCCCTTTCCCGCTTCACAGTAAGCATGCGAGCAATCTGTAGATGTCAGTATTTCACATCAGTGGTTTAAAACTACCAACAAAGAGATAGGAAGTGACCATAATGCAGAACCCAAAGGAACTGCTGGTAAACCCATTTAGGTCCCTTGGGAATTTGCTTCACGGCAGATCAGACCTCTCATTACTACATATATAAAGGTATGCGATTGGCCACTTCCTTCTCATTTTAAGATCAGACAGAGAGAAGATGGACAAGTCAGAGAATGATCTAATCAATTCTTGTAGAATGCGGACACACACACAGGGATACAAGTTCAGGGAATCATATTCCCTTTGCTCTTGGGTATATGGAGGAGGTCAGAATATCAAGATAGAACTAAGAATGTCAGGATACATGGATTCTATTGTGAATTGTACACTTGACATTGCCAACTTTCCCTCCACATCAGAAAACCAGAAGTGCAAGCAAGAGACAGAAAGCAGCAAGAGGTCTTTACTTCAAGATAATCTAAACATTGTGCTCACTTCTGGTAAATAGTGATTTTGATAGCATTAGACACTAAGTTGATTATAACTTGAAGAATAAAATATAAAAATAAAAGATTATGAGATTGACCTATAACAGCTCAGCTGAGTAAATCATAAGAAGGGCAGAGACCACTCAAATTCAAGAGGGGTGGCACAGAATATAATAAAGACATCAATCTTTTGCAGCATAACAAGGCCAAATGGGTAATAATGACATACATACACTGGATGCTGCGGTAACACATTACAGCAGGTTATGAGAACACACCCAGGAGTCCATTCATCAAGTGCTAGACACATCAAATGCACCAAGTTTTAAGCAAGTTTGAGGATGGCTGTGACTATTCCTCTTGTACAGAGCATCTCTGAGTTATGGCACCTAAAAACATGTGGAAGTTCTCAGAGCATCATTGATTACCAATGATCCCAATCTTGATAATGGGACACAGGTCACTCAGATATATAGCAGAAATAATACAAATGAAAAGGAAGAGGATGGGGTGAGTGGTGAGGTCTTCCAAGATAACTAACTCTGACGGGTAGTAACTATGCATGAGCTGCAGAGAGAGAATGGAGTGGGAGTTGAGGGTATTTTGGGTGTGAGAACGAGAGAAAAGAGGTAGGCAAGAGTTCTGGATTTGGCTGAGGAGAGCCTCTAACCTCCAGAAAGTCAGAGAACGGATTTTCCTTCCTTGTTGTTCTTCCTTCCCTTAGTCGGCTCAATGTCTAAGAACTGAGTATGCTTGGTGTGAAGCGCCTATTGGGTATTAATAAGATGGTAGAGTTTCATCATCATGTGAGTAAAACTCCTATTTCGGTGGTTGTCACCTGTCTTCTATCTTTCCCCCTCCCTTTCAGAATCTAATACAGAGGGCTGAAAGCCACAAGAGATGATGCAGAGTAATAAGCCATAAGCCCATAACTATGGATGCGTCAATGTGATATGAAGGTCCTTCTGCCATATAAATAACTTCACCCATTACCAATTCAAGATAGTGAGCATAGTTTCATCTTTAAACCATGAAATCAAACTAGGACCACTGACAAAACATTGTAAAAATTTGCATCATGACCTTGTGATTAAATAGTCTCCTTAAAAATAAATGAATGAATGAATGAAACTCAACTGGGGATGTCCTTGCATGCATGCGACAGGATCACTCACGTGCCAATAGTTACCATAAGTAGAGGGGAGTTGCCTACTCTATACCCATCGGTTACACTTGATTTAAAAAATTAGAATCTTTCGTGAGCATCCTCGATATGCTTGAAAGAAAACGAAATTTGAAGAAGTTAGGCGAAAATTCCCCAATTGCTTCTTTTTTTTTTTGGGAGAAGAAAAGCCATTAAAATTTCTAGTTCGAAGAAGGCAAAAATCCACCATTGCTTCCTAATATCAAGTTATCAACTTTACGAGGAATTTAATTTTTAGTCGGCGTACTCAATTAATATCCTATCTTATTGTTCAAAAAACTACATGTGTGCGACTAGGGAGGTCTTCAATTCACAAAGAGGATAAGAAAAACCATAAAATTATTTAGCATTTTCCCTGAACTAACAAACTATTAAACAGATAGAAAAAAGCAATACCCTCTTGCGCATCCGACGGAACTCGCTGGACTTGAACTCGTTCCGAGCAGATTTCTGGAGCCGAAGCATGAGAAGCTCGCCCTTAAGATCAGTAACCTCTTCGTTGATTTCTTCAGCGGTTTTAGCTCTAATTTCCTTCAATTCCTCCTCTCTCTTTGCCATCATTACTACTGTAGAAGAAGGATGTCGATACGATTTCATCTGAAGACATGGTTGAATTGAGCGGATGCCGCGAAGTTGAATGCCATTGAAGGAAGATTTCGGAATTCCAGAACATGCTTTTGGAAGGCAGCATATAGTTGTGGGTGAACCTAAAGAATTCAACATTTTCTCTCCCTCCTATCTCCTCGCTGTTCCTGCTCTACGTTAGCAAAGCGCAGGGGATGCGGATAAGACCAGTCTCAGACCACCTTCCTCATCTTTTGGTGCATTACAATTTCGTGTCCAGGTTTGTTCAAATTACAATTTACCCCAGAGTAAGGCAAAAACTACACAATCGACCCAATTTAACCTTCCTTCTTCGGTACTCTCTCTCGTCCTAATTATAAGAACTAATTAACTAATTTGAGGAGATTAAGAAAAGAAGTTAAGTTAGTTACTTGTAATAAATAGGTGTCGCCTTTCTTAAAATATCCTTGCTAATCAAATATATTAGTTAGAATTACTATTGTTAGAAGGACTACTTTAAAAAAAATACATAAATATAAGAAACAAAATAAATTAGAATCTTATATTTAAAATTAAAATAAAAATTAAATAAAATTTTATATCAAGTACAGTAGCTAGTATTGCGTCTGACCTTTTGGGCAGTCAATCAAGTGCTTAGGTGCTTGAAGTTGGATAAGGAGAAAATGATCGAACTGCGCATGAGATTGATGAAAGTATTTTCCTTTTTTTTTTTTTTGAAAAAACGAATAATGAATATTATATTTGAAAGTTCTCTTTGGACCAAGATATGTGGCTGTTATTTTTTGAATTTTTTAAATTCAATATTCATAATTTTTTGTTCTATTTCTCACATAAAATATTACTTTTCTATTTTATTCTCTTTTCTTATCCCTTATTTATTTTAAAAGAGGGTTAAATATACTTTTATTAGGATTTTTCTTTTGATTCATTTAGGTTTGAGAATCTGTTTTTTTCATTCACTTGTCCAATTGAGATTTTTTTTTTTTTGCCAAGTCCAATTGAGATCTAACTCAGTAAATTTTACATTGATTTGTCTAATCAGTTGATAATATAAAAAATATATTTAAAAACACTCTGAAAATACTAATGACAATTAATAATCTTGAAATTTTAAAATTTTAAAAAAAATAATGATTTCCAGCTTCAATTAAAATTCTTTAACTTAATTTTTAATATTTTTTATATTTTCAGTATATGTCGTCCATAGTTTTAATACTCACATTCTAGGAAGTGCTTCTATGAATTGCTTCTATGTATCCACTTAAAAGCCTTTATAATGACAAAACATATGCAAACATGTATAAAAACTAGGAATCTATACAAATTGCAAGTTCTTAAACAATTTATTTCAACTTGTCGACCAAAAAATATTATTTCAACCAATATCAATTTCATAGGAAGATAAGACTAAGCTTTAGCACATTTCTGGGCCATAACCTACAATTGGAAAGAAGACACAATTAATTCCTTTCTATTCAAAGATGGTATGCCCCGAAAATAACAACACATGATACATTTACCTAATGCTCATTCCCAACTTCTAGACCTCCTACAGCCCCACTTCCATGTATTTAATTAATCTTATTGATAACCTCATTTAATACTTTTTTTTAGTTTTAAATATAACACTCATTTTTAATATAAATTATACTAATAAATATTTTTTATATTTAAGACTTGAGGAATAATTTTTTACATGACTTGCAATAAGGAACAAGAAAACATAGTCACAATTTCATTTTCATCATACACAAAACACAAGGAGGAAAATAAACAACTAAAGAAAGGGTAGTGTAAATTTTTGGAAGTTTTCATTCAAAAGTAACGGGTACTCAAATTTTTTTTAGATGTAAATTTATTCTGTAAATTTAAAATTGTCATAATTTTATCTCATAGCGTTAAAAGATTAACGTTAACTGTTAAAATAGTAACATTAACTGTTAACATTTTTAATAGTATGAAGTAAAATTATCATGATTTTAAATTTTTGAAGAAAATTTACACACACAAAAATTTTGAATGGCCACAACTCTCAAATAAAAATTTTCAAAATAAATTTACACTTTAGCTCTATAAGAAATCAATCTATCTTTTCGAAGCACCCTTTTTGTTTAGTTTAAAGACAAGTCATGTTATCTATAGTTACTTTATATTTTTTCACTTTTTTTATTATAAGAAACAACTATCAAATCATGTAATTCAAAATATTAGTTAAAAAATAATAAATATATAAGATATATACATATTTTTTATTATACAATTATTTGTAAAGAGAGTATATGAGAGATAATAAACAAAAATTTTTAGATTAAGGTATACCTTATACTGTAAAATATTTTTTTGGATATATCTAGCATTTCGAAGTATTTTGTGGTGCATGTAGTACCGGGGAGTATTTTTTAAATGCGTCCAACATCCTAAAGTGTTTTTGTTTTGTCTTGATACTGGATGCACCAAAAAATATTTTTGGATGCTGGATATACCTAAAAAAAACACGTTGAGGCACTGGATTCAGCGTGTTGGATATACTTAAGGAAGAAAAATACTTTAGGGTACTGATCGGATATACTACAAAATACTTTAAGGTGCTAAATGTACTTGAAAAAATATTTTGAGATGCTAGATACATCTTAACTCAAAATTTATTGTAGAAAGATAATAAGTGACATATATTTAATGGAATAAAAATAAAAAACTAATTTCAAATTTCAAATAAAGAAAGAGGATTTATTTTTTATTTTCAGAATTGTTTGTTATAAAAGGAGATGGAGGGAGTAAAACATTTTGGGAAAATTACACTCAGGTCCCACAGAACACAATTAATATAAAAAAGGTCCCTCGAAATCGCGAAATGATTCTGAAGTCCCCAGGGACCTGTATGTAATTAATTCTAATTGTGAAATTACGTAGTTACCCCTGTTAATTTGAACCTATTTACAACCTCAATAGTGGCTGTTAACAACCCGAGAAGAGGTGGTTAACAACTTCAACAACGCCCCTGGTGTTCCACAGAGTGAGTTGTCATGAGCACTGCCGAGGTTGTCAATCACGTCTTCTCGGGTTGTTAACAGCACTGTTGAGATTGTAAATAAAATTAGAACCTATTTACAACATCAACAGTGGCTGTTAACAACCCGAGAAGAGGTGGTTAACAACCTCAACAACGCCCCTGGCATTCCACAGAGTGAGTTGTCATGAGCACTGCCGAGGTTGTCAATCACGTCTTCTCGGGTTGTTAACAGCCACTGTTGAGATTGTAAACGAATTGTTGCAATAAAATTAACAGGGGTAAGTAGGTAATTTCACAATTATAATTAATTACACACAGGTCCCTGGGGACTTCAGAATCATTTCGCGATTTCGTGAGACCTTTTTGATATTAATTGTACTCTGTGGGACCTGAGTGTAATTTTCCCAAACATTTTTATTAAAAAATAAACGAAGAAATTTTTTGCATTAGCTAGTCTTGGTGCTACATATTACTGTATCTGTTTAATTTTTATTTTGGTCTTAAATATAAAATATCATACTTATTCATTTATTTTTAAAATAGTTCTCTTTATAATAGCAGTTTTAACTAATATATTTAATTAGTAACAATATTTTTAACAAAATATGTTTATTTATTACAAATAACTAATTTAAATAATTTTTTTAACCTATTTAAATTAATAAACTAGATGGAGGTAGCAACTTAATCCAACTGAATTAAAACTAAAACTGGATTAGACTTGGTTACTACCTTAATTGAAGCGGATCTGCTTGAACTTCGAAGGTCATACAAGTTGGCTTTTGGCACGCGTGATGTGGGAAGTGGGATCATGTCCCAGCGATTAAGTAGTGGGTCGTCTGTAATCCGTCCGTAATGCTTATATCTCGTGTTTCTTTGATTTTGTAAAATCAATCTTCCATTTGTGATTTCCTCTGTTTCCTTCGTTCTTTCTCTCTTGAATGAACGAAAACCCTTGATGCCGCTCTAACACCAGAAAACCGAAATCCATTACGTTCACAGGCAATAAAATCTTAACGACTCGAAGAAACGCAGGCGGGAGAAACGGTCATTGAGCCTTTGATGGCGTGCGAATCGCGGAGTTGAACCAGATAAAGATCGGAGTTTCTGTGATCGGTGACGAGCTGATGGGTGCCACAGGTTCCAAGCTCGAGAAAGCTCTTGGCGACCAGTTTCCTGAAGGCGAGCGTTACTTTGGGCTTGAGAACTTTGGCAATACTTGTTACTGCAACAGCGTTTTGCAGGTCATCAATCTATGCTGTGTGTGTTCTGCATAAAATCGTTTATATTAGAAGCATTGAATTCCTTCGGAAAGATAGTGAATTTGCATTTTTGTTTCCTGGGATATCGATAATATGGACTGATCCTGTGAGCTGTGAAAATAATATTGCAGCTGCATATCCTACTAAAGGGAAGTCACTGTTAAAACTTTTGCTTTAAGTTGAGCTGTTCAGCTAAATTGCCTAGCGCATGGCTGGACAAATGATTTTTTTTTTTTGGTGGGATGAAAAGTAAATACTATAACGATTGACCATTGATATGTGAATTTTCTTCTAGTCATTTCTGAATTTCCGTTATTGCAATGGAAGTATCAACTTTTTTTCCCACCCCATTTCCCCGGTTTGTTTTTCTTCTGATTTTGTTATGCAGTCGAACTTTGTGAAATAAACGTTTGTTTGTTTCCTATTTTCTTTTCCTTGCTGAATTTCATGTAACTAGTTTATTTCTGCTGTATTTAACTTAGCTCAATAAATAGCAAAAATAATTATTTGGCTTGCCTATCAGAGAAGGCACGAGAATATTGAAGCTGTCAGGCATCAACATCAGTATATCAATATATGATAAAATCAATCATTACTGTCTCCAAATCAATATGTATAATAAAATTTAAAAGCCACACTATTTACAAACTATAAATAATACAACTCATTCATCATATTCTACCCAATACACATGAAACGTGTTTTGTGTAGAATATATAGAAACATGTTTAACATGATCTATGACTTTTGAATGGTTATCTTCAGGCTGTAAAATTCTGTTTAGATACTAGTAGTTGTCTTGTTAATTTACTAGTTTTCTGATGTATAATATTGTCTCTGTCTAGTTATTTTGTTAAGAAAAATTCTTCTGATAACATTTCAGGTTTTCTGTATTTTTTTTCATTGTTGATATTCTATTCTAGTAATAACTAATAAGAATAAACCAACAA